CAGGACATTGCTTAGTCATTGACTTTCTTAAATCCAAATATATTCATGCAATACATAGTGACATCTCGGTCAAAACTGAGCTACATAATACCACAGTAGTCCCATAGGATTAATAAGATTGTGATGCCATATTTTTACATGCCTTTTCTATGTTTAGATATGTTTTGATACACAAATACTTACCATTTTGTTGCAGCTGCCTGCAGTATTCAGTACGGGAACATGCTGTGCAGGTTTGTAGCCCAGGAGCAACAGGCTGTACCATAGAGCTTTTCGTTGCTTTTTTAAAACTGTGGTACAGAAGGCATGAAAGAAGTGCTGATGCAAAAACTTAAGGATGTGCCTACTTTTTAATGATTCACCTGCTATACAAGGCAGAAAGATTTTGTTATATCCTACCATAATGCTCTTTTTATTGCTCATGAAATATTTCTGATGTTTTTTCTTACATTTGATTTGACCAGCAAAGCCTAGATGAGCCTTTGAGAAGCAGAAAGGTGTTTGTTGGGCGTTGTACCGAGGACATGACTGCTGACGAGCTGCGGCAGTTCTTTTGTCAGTATGGAGAAGTGGTAGATGTCTTCATTCCCAAACCGTTCAGGGCTTTTGCCTTTGTTACATTTGCTGATGATCAGGTATTTTTCTCCTTAATACTCTGTCCTAGCTAATTAGGTAATTTCTTTTGAACACTTCTCAACCAGCTGATTGTCATCTTAGCTGAGCTTTCTGACCTTGTGAGGTTGGCGGTATATGGGCCTAGATATTTGTGATATATCTAAAATGTCTAAAAGTATATTTACTTCTAGATATTTTTCAGTGTGTGGCATCTGGGAATGTTACATATCTTTTGAAAATAAGCTGAGATATCACTGCTGCCATTACTAAAGCTAAAAGGCTTTATTGGGGGTTTAAATGAAATGAGAGAGTTCAGGCTTATTTTTTCTACAGCTCAGATACATTATGCTTGAAATCTAGGTTTTATTGCTACTTTGATGTATGAGTCAATGGTTTAATCTCCTTTGTTTACATCCGTTATTTCTTACAGGTTGCCCAGTCTCTTTGTGGAGAGGACTTGATCATTAAAGGAATCAGCGTCCATATATCCAATGCGGAACCTAAGCACAATAGCAATAGACAGTTAGAAAGAAGTGGAAGATTTGGTGGTACTCCAGGTGGCTTTGGGAATCAGGGTGGATTTGGTAATAGTAGAGGGGGTGGAGCTGGCTTGGGAAACAATCAAGGTAGTAATATGGGTGGCGGGATGAACTTTGGTGCTTTCAGCATTAATCCAGCAATGATGGCCGCAGCCCAGGCAGCGCTGCAGAGCAGTTGGGGTATGATGGGCATGTTAGCCAGTCAGCAGAACCAGTCGGGCCCATCAGGTAATAACCAAAGCCAAGGCAACATGCAGAGAGAGCCAAATCAGGCCTTTGGCTCTGGAAATAACTCTTATAGTGGTTCTAATTCTGGTGCAGCGATTGGTTGGGGATCAGCATCAAATGCAGGGTCAGGCAGTGGTTTTAACGGAGGCTTTGGCTCAAGCATGGATTCCAAATCTTCTGGCTGGGGAATGTAGACTGGGTTGTGGCTGGTTGGTACAGAATGGTGGGAATTCAAATTTTTCTAAACTCATGGTAAGTATATTGTAAAATACATATGTGCTAAGAATTTTCAAAATTGGTTTGTTCAGTGTGGAGTATATTCAGCAGTATTTTTGACATTTTTCTTTAGAAAAAGAGGAAGAGCTAAAGGAATTTTATAAGTTTTGTTATATGAAGGGTTGAAATATTGAGTGGTTGGAAGTGAACTGCTGTTTGCCTGATTGGTAAACCAACAACACTACAATTGATATCAAACGGTTTCTCCTGTAATAATTTATCCCTGGACTTGTCAAGTGAATTCTTTGCATGTTCAAAATGGAAACCATTGATTAGAACTACATTCTTTTCTCCTTGTTTTAATTTGAACCCCACCATATGGATTTTTTCCTTAAGAAATTCTCCTTTTGGGAGATCATGGTGTCACAGTGTTTGGTTCTTTTGTTTTTGTTTTTTTAACACTTGTCTCCCCTCATATACAAAAGTACAATATGAAGCCTTCATTTAATCTCTGCAGTTCATCTCATTTCAAATGTTTATGGAAGAAGCACTTCATTGAAAGTAGTGCTGTAAATATTCTGCCATAGGAATACTTCTGTCTACATGCTTTCTCATTCAAGAACTCGTCATCACGCATCACAGGCTGCGTCTTTGACGGTGGGTGTCCCATTTTTATCCGCTACTCTTTATTTCATGGAGTCGTATCAACGCTATGAACGCAAGGCTGTGATATGGAACCAGAAGGCTGTTTGAACTTTTGAAACCTTGTGTGGGATTGATGGTGGTGCCGAGGCATGAAAGGCTAGTATGAGCGAGAAAAGGAGAGAGCGCGTGCAGAGACTTGGTGGTGCATAAGGGATATTTTTTAACTTGGCGAGATGTGTCTCTCGATCCTGTGGCTTTGGTGAGAGCGTGTGCAGAGAGCAATGATAGCAAATAATGTACGAATGTTTTTTGCATTCAAAGGACATCCACATCTGTTGGAAGACTTTAAGTGAGTTTTGTTCTTAGATAACCCATAATAGCTGAATGTGTTAAGTGAAACGATACTTGTATTTCCCCTACCCCTTTGTCAACTGCTGTGAATGCTGTATGGTGTGTGTTCTCTTCTGTTACTGATATGTAAGTGTGGTAATGTGAACTGAAGCTGGTGGGTTGAGAACATGGACCGAGCTTGTGGTGTGCTTTGCAGGAGTACTTGGAAGCAGAGTTCACCAGTGAGCTCAGGTGTCTCAAAGAAGGGTGGAAGTTCTAATGTCTGTTAGCTACCCATAAGAATGCTGTTTGCTGCAGTTCTGTGTCCTGTGCTTGGATGCTTTTTATAAGAGTTGTCAATGTTGGAAATTCTTAAATAAAACTGATTTAAATAATATGTGTCTTTGTTTTGCAGCCCTGAATGCAAAGAATTCATAGCAGTTAATTCCCCTTTTTTGACCCTTTTGAGATGGAACTTTCATAAAGTTTCTTGGCAGTAGTTTATTTTGCTTCAAATAAACTTATTTGAAAAGTTGTCTCAAGTCAAATGGATTCATCACCTGTCATGCATTGACACCTGATACCCAGACTTAATTGCTATTTGTTCTTGCATTGTCCAAAGTGAAAAGTTTTTTTTTTTCTTTTTAAATCTAGTTTTTAATAAGTCTGGGTGACCGCACCTAAAATGGTAAGCAGTACCCTCCAGCTTTTTCTTAGTGCCTCTGTGCATTTGGGTGATGTTCTATTTACATGGCCTCTATAAAATCTCCATTGGGAAATCATGCCTTCTAAAAATATTCTTATTTGGGGGAGTGGGCAAAACAATATTGATTATTTTCAGATGCTTTGTAGCAAAGCATGTCAATGAAAAGGGAATATCAGCACCTTTCTAGTTTGGGATTTGAAAAGTGGAATTAATTGCAATAGGGATAAAGTAGAAGAAACCACAAATTATCTTGTGCCTAAAATCCATTAAGAAGCCTGATAGCTTTAAAAGCTAGTAGGGTGGGTTGTCTGTGGAAGTGTTAAGTGAAATGGGCTTTGTCCTCCAAAGGTGGAGGAATGTAGTATTGAATAAAATCACTTATGAACTCAGACTCTCACCATGCATTGTTAAATGTGTAAAAGCAATAATATATTCTTATTGTACTTTTTATGTAACTACTAATTCTGTGAGAGTTGAGCTTATTTTCTAATTGGAAGAATGTGAGTTTTTGTGTTGGTAGTTTACCTAATGCCCTCACCTAATTAGATTATGGTAAATAGGTTTGTCATTTTGCAAGTTATGTGTTCTAAACATTTATAAATGAAGTCATCCTTTAGACTTGTGATCGCCACATTGTTTTGTTAATGAGTTTCCTCTGTAAAAGGATCTTGAGTTGTTTTAAATTTTTTTTTTCTGCATCTAAATCTGCATGATTTCCAAACCCTGTACCATCTGAATTTTGCATTTTAGCACTTGCACTATTACTCAGCAGCAGTAACATGGTAACACTTAAAATGGTATTCGGGGACCTCCAAAGACTAAACTGACAAGCCTTCAAGGAACCCAGGGGTAAGTTAACTTGTCAATGGCATGGTTTTAATCCCTTATTTACACTTGTGTAAATCTAGTTACTGGCCATAGAAGGCTTTCACTGTTGAGTAGCCTTTTATTAACATGTTTATGGTATTACATAGCTATGGGTATTTATTTCTACCCTAAAAAAAATTGAAGTTTAGAAGTACTTAAACTATTTGGCAAGATTTGTTTTTAAAAGTCTATTTGGTCATCTAAATGCATTCATTCTAAAAAATTTTTTGAACCAGTTGAATAAAAATTTTTTGTTGCTTACCACAGTTTAGTGTCTGGAGTCTTACTGGAAAAACATTTCTTTTTTATATGTGACAAAGATACTGGAAATTTACTTTTAAAATTTGAGTCTCAAGAAGTTGTACTTCATATTCATAGGCACAAGGGAAATATGGCCAAACTCATAGTCAACTTATATACAAGGGTGACTGTTTAGCTAGACTGAAAACTTATTACATGTTAACTATTAAAACTTTTTAGGGAAGAATAGCCAAGTAAGATGAGATTTTTAAGGTTAAATCAACATTTTGTCCTTAGTAGGAAAAAGCAGGAAGTTAACTACTCAGTAATTCAGAAGATACATGTTATTAGAATAACTTTTTGTTGTTGAGTAGCTCTTAACTGTGACTTAAAGTTCTATGCTTTATTCAGCTCTTGTATGATTTGTGTTCCGTTGTTTGGCTTAACTGTGCCCAAGTATTTCATATTCATTGTTAGAAGAAAAAGACATTACAGAATTTATCTATAATATCACCACTATTTCAATGTTTTTCATCTTGTGGTAAAGCCACCTTTGATTCAGTCTGATGAATTTGAACATTATTTAGGTTATTTCCAATTGCTAAGAACATCCTTGCAGCTAAATTAAATTCGTAGCATTGGAATTGCTAGGTCAAAGAATATGTATGCTGTTAAGGCTGTTGATACGTAGTGCCCATCTATGGCCATACTACCCTGAATGGACCCAGTCTCGTCTGAAATGTATTGCCAAATTGTCCTAAACTTAGAAAGTTTATATTGTCGTTGACAATGTGAAATGGTACTACTATTCCATGTTCCTTTTGTCTGGCAATTTGATAAGTGAAAAATTATATTCCACCATTTTGTGGCATTGGTTTTTAACATACACATCAGTCAGTATCTGGGCTACAGTATCAATGTTTCCGATTTACCCAAAAAAAGGATTCAAGCTTATTCCTGAAACAATACTGCTATAATATATAAAGCAGTCTTGGAGATCAAAGAATAAAAACAAGTTTAAAAAACAGTAGAAAAACAGTCGAAGAGCCTGGACAGGCAATTTATAGAAATGCAGACAGCCAGTATGAAAAGATACTGGTCTTTCTGAGTTTATTAAATGTAATTTAAGCAGTGAGTTTATATTGGTTTGGCAAAGATGAATGTCACTACAATGGTTTGTGTCGCCTTGAATGGAGTCAGGATGGAATTAAACTGGCAAGCAGAAAAGTAGCAGCAGTCTCACCTGGAGTTTGGTTTTGTTTTGGGGGTGGAAGAACAACTGCCATGTTGATGCTTTTCAGGTCACATTGCTGCTAAGATCTTTTATAAGTATTTCTAAAAATAAGGAATCAGTTACTGATTGAAGACATGCAAATCAAAAATTATTCATTATGTTCTTGATCCAGGGAATGTAGTTACTGACTTTCGTGTAGACCCCGTACTGCCCTGCTTCCCCGCAATTCACGGAACCCCAGGACACTATTCCTCCCACAAACCACCTCTGTGTCTCATTATCTAGAAACACTAATGCCCCTCCACTGTCACCTCTACAGCTATCCTTGCCCCCACTTTCCAAGCCAGCACAGAGCATGTTACCAGTTACCCTTCCACCTGGATAGGGCTTCTTTTCATATGCAGCGGTACATTTTTGATGGTCAACGATTGGTATGTCGACAAACATTAGACTTCTGGCAAGATAACCCCTTTGGGTTAATCCCCATCCCGATGTGGTTCCAATGTCATTTGTCCCCATAAAGGATTCAGCTTCTTTCTTTGGCAGACAAATAGGCGTGATGTTGCTATTGATTACAACTTTGTCCTTCAGTTTAATCAGCGCTATGTCGTTGTCAAACCCAGCATCATGAGTATAACCTTCATGTATAAAAACAGCCTCAGCCCAGGCTTGCGTGTAATGAGGTGACAGTCTCTTCAGGGCACCCATCCGGATGTCCAGGGAAGATGCGTCTTCCTTGTGCTTGTACACAGCATGAGCCGCTGTGAGGATCCAGTTGTCGTGTATCAGTGCACCTGCTGCGGTCGTTTCTCCTAGTAACAGCACTTGCCAGGGAAAATCACCAAGCTTTGCTTTTTGCCCTCCATATATACGCCCTCCTGTAGTACGCGTTGATAGTCCACAGACTGAGGAGAGAAGCAGATACACAGCCTTTGTAGAGACTCAGTGATATTTTTCTTAAACTATTACCATTTTGGAGTTGTGTATGCTTGGTGTCAGCCAAAAATTTTATTACATGAATTGGTGGGTGTCCACCTATACAGGCAAGTGAGGCTGTTTTGAAATAGCATAGTTCAAAGACCTGATAGAAACCTTTAGGTATTTCTTAGCTCCTCAGTAAACGAGATGAGTGAAATTAACTTCTAGAAATTATTTTGTTTTGCTAGAAGAAGTTAATCTATAAGATTGGGGAAATTAATAGGATAGGAATTATCTGAGCTGATGCAGTGGAGGATGTGTGTAGAAAATGGAAGGACAATCTTTTTGTTGCTGTGTTTTCCTCTTTGTAAAATGGGGTATTTACTATGTAATTTTGGGAAAGGAGGAACTAAGGTCAGTATCAGGATTTGCAAAATTATTTTTATCTTTGAACATGTAAATGTTTTAAAAATTAGAATGTTGCAGTGGTGGCCAGGACCCTTCAGGTTCAGAAATTATTTTTGGTCTAGTTGATTCTTCCAAACACTAAATTTTATTGTCTTTATTGCAAACTAAACTCATTAATGTAGCATATATGTTTCCTTTTGTGGCAGTGTACTTATATTAAAACTTACAAATGTTATGTCAGCCAAGTATAGGTTTTAAAAAAACTAATTTAGGCCAAATAACATTGGGGTAATGAATATATTATTACCTTTCTGACTTTTTTTAATCACTCTATTCAACTATTATCTTTGGAGCCAATTCTGGTTAAAAAAAAAATTTTTTTTTTTAAGTACTATTAAAGGGCAAATTGCATTAATGTTTAAAAACTAGATGTCATTGAAAACAATTGCTTAGGGAAATAATGAAGTTATTAACTTTGGGTTTTAATAGCATTTTTACGGAGAAGAAAAGTAACTCAACAGAAGAACTCATGTTTATAAATGTATAAATTGTTCAAGATAATTTAAAAAATCATTTAATTTTTTATGCTTGCCTAGTTATAAGGTCAAAAATAATCAAATGACTGATGCAGTCAGCACCTAACAACCTCTCCATATGGAAAGGGGATAATGAGAACATATTATTTGGAAATAACAACTTAGCATAGCAGCCAAGTGCTGAAGTTACATTTCTGCCTACCACAGCCAAAGCTCTGCTTACTGTCTCCTGCCCAGTTCTACTTTCCATCAATTAGGAATCTCTTGTATAAATGTATCCATTACCAGGCTCGCAGACTGGGAGCGATCTTTCTCCTTTGGAGCTCGTCCAGAATCCATCAGCCTCACACACATATTCACCTGCAAATCATTCGAAAAGCAAAAATGTTTAACTGCATGTGTAAGATGGTTGCCATTTGCTCGAATACTCTCTTGAAAAATGTCGATTCTTGAGCATCAGTGGGAAATAGAGGTGTCTGAGTAACCATTTTACGTGATTTCATAAATAGGGCTCTGCATTACCATGTTTGCTTGCAAAGTGGAAACCTTTTAGATGTGTAACTTGAATATGTATCAAGATCTCAAGTGCTTAATGATAAGGTTTTGACTTGTTAAATTAAACCATTTGGAATATATTGTGTGTTTGTAGTAGTCATTTACTAGATAAGATCTGTTTTCAGATTCTTGCAAATTGACTTTAAAGTCACCTTAGCTATAATATTTCACTTAGCAGGTGGGAGAAGTGCCTTTTAATCTTTTGTCTAGCCTTAGCCAGAAATGTCGCTTAAAGTTTATTTTCAGACCATGAGGGCTCAAGTTCCAAATGCCACCTACCCCCAGTTTTGAAAAATGCACTCACCGTCACCCGTCTTCATTGTGTAGAAGGTCTCTTGGCAGCTGTACTGAATCACAGCTTTGTACGTGGTCACTTCAGGACCTGTGACGTATTCCACCCGGCCACTCGGTAGATCATCGGGAGGGCCACAGTCGACAACTAATAAAGAAATGGGGGAGGGAGGAGTCCACTTGTAATTTCAATGCTGACACGAAACCGGTCTATAAGCAACTAATGTAGACAGGTGGTGGTGCGTGCGGTACTAAAACTTGAAGCCATGTTCATTTCCTCTGCACAGTGGACATCGTCCATTTCATCTCTAGAAATGGAGAGAATCCCTTTAGTGTGATCTTAAAGCTCACTCTCATCCCTGTTACTAACTAAATGGCTGGACTGAGGGGAGTCGACCCTGGGGGAAGGAGTGGTGTGATTTGAAACCACTTGGAGTTCTTAGGGCCCTCACTGCAAATGTGAAAAAGATCAGCAGAACAGCAAGATACGTGGCACAGTCTGGGTCGAGGTAAAATAGTACCCAGTTTGCGATTGGGAAGGTTGGAAAGGTAGACAAAGACACAACAGAGACTGAAGGACTCAACTTGTTCTGATCCCTTTCATAAGCTGAACTTTTTAGAAGACCTGGAAGTGCTGGTTAAAAAAAAAAAACAAAACTTGAGTTTCATCATTCATGCCTCGAGCAGTTGTTAGGAGGAGGGGAAAAAAAATCAAAAAAATCACAGGACATGACTAATGTGAACTAACCAATTTGTGAGACAAAAGACAAAGCAATTTCAATCTAAAAATTCTCTGTACAGTAGCAACCAAAAACTGTTGGTGTGTTTCCACTGTGGATATTCAAAGATTACACAGCAACTTATTTTTTTCAATATTTTAACTTTTTTTTTGGTAGGGCCCTAATTCAACGGGACTGGTGTCCTTAAGAGAAGGGACACCAGGAGTGCACAGGCACAGAGGAGAGGCTCTGCAAGCCGAGGACAAAGGCTTCGGAAGAGACCGACTCTGCTGACACCTTGATTCTGGACTGCCAGTCTCCAAACGGCAACTTAAGAGCTGCGTGCCTCAGGCTAAGCCTAGTGAATGCTTTGCCTGTTGCTATCTTTCATTTTCACAGCAGCTTTGATGTGGCCGTCTTGTCATCTGTAGATGAGAAGAAAGGAAGGGGGCGTGATCAGCCCACAATCACACAGCAAAAAGCAGCAGAATCAGGCAAAATCAGGGCTCAAAGCCAGACCTCTGACTCCCAACACTGTTTAGTGCCGGTTCATCTTCACTGATTTAGATAAAATGAGCATACAAGTGAAGGGACACTGTGCAGCCAGAGAAAGAATGAGTGGCTTCGCCAGGTGCGGTGGCTCACACCTGTAATCCCAGCACTTCAGGCAGCCGAGGTGGGAGGATCACCTGAGGCCCAGAGTTCCAGACCAGCCTGGGCAACATAGCAAGACCCCCCCACCCCCACCCCAGCTCTACAAAATATAAGAGTTCACTGGGTGTGGTGGCCCACACCTGTAGTCCCAGCTACTCTGGGGGCTGAGGCAGGAGGATCGCTTGACCCAGGAATTCCAGGCTGCAGTGACACAGTGAGCTATGACAACGCCACAGCACTCCAGCTTGGGCAACAACTCTGTCTCAAAAAAAAAAAAAAAGTGGCCCTGTTAATATTTAGATTGATGTGGAAAGATCTCAACAATATGGGGAGAAAAGCAAATTGCAATCAGGTTTAATATCCCATTTTGGTTAAAAAGTAAATAATAATGAAATATGTGTTCGTATATATAGCATAGGCGATAATGGAAAGGAATAGACCCCCAGACTCCTAGTGGTGGTTTGGGGAGATTGGGCAAAAGAGGTGCTCACTGTCCGTGTATTTTTTTGTAAATTTCTATTCTTTCCCAAGTAACATGTACATACTTTGATAATTGAGAAAACACTAAAAATAATTTAAGATACATGATTTTTAGTTAATAAAATGGTAACATACACCATTACCCCAGTTAGGGGTACGTGTGTGCATCACACAAAATACCCCCATCCCCACCTGCGGTCACGTATGCGTGTTCACACGTGTGAGGTGTGTCATTGGAGGGATACACACCAAAATAGTCACAGTGATCGTACTCTCATGCGGTGGTATTATGGGTATTAAAATCTTAGTAATTTTCTGTACTTCCCGTCTTCTATGGTGAGTATTGTTACTTTTATGCTTAGAAAAATATCTTCAAAGAACACACTTTCCTAAAGCAAATACTTTCCCTAATAGCTCGGTCCTGTTTTAACCTCCCGGAGTGCACTGAGAAGGGAAGAGAAGCAAACTGGGACCTCAGCCCTGATGAACGGAATGAACCTCCCGCCCCCACCCCAGAAGCCGCAGAAGCAGCGAGGGCGGCCGCAGAGGCAGGGTAGCTGCAGAGGCAGGGTAGCAGCTGCAGAGGCAGGGCGGCCGCAGAGGCAGGGCGGCCGCAGAGACAGGGTAGCAGCTGCAGAGGCAGGGTAGAGGCCGCAGAGGCAGGGTAGCTGCAGAGGCAAGAGGCAGGGTAGCTGCAGAGGCAGGGTAGCTGCAGAGGCAGGGTAGCTGCAGAGGCAGGGTAGCTGCAGAGGCAGGGTAGAGGCCGCAGAGGCAGGGTAGCTGCAGAGGCAGGGGAGCTGCAGAGGCAGGGTAGAGGCCGCAGAGGCAGGGTAGCTGCAGAGGCAGGGTAGCTGCAGAGGCAGGGTAGCTGCAGAGGCAGGGTGGCCGCAGAGGCAGGGCGGCGGCCGCAGAGGCAGGGCGGGAAGCGGGAGCTGGCGTCACCGCGTGGCCGTACTGCTGCACTCGGGCATCGGCCGGTCCCACGACCCATCTTTCTGACAGACTGCAGTAAACGAATTCAGGGGCAGATGACCCTAAGGAAGAATTAAAATATGAATTTCCTTGTTTGCATCATAAAGTTACTCCCCAAAGCTGTGCTTCCCAGTCGCTCCTATTCTGGTGTTTCCCACCTGCCCGAGGCGGCGGTCACGCGACCGGCATCGGTGTGCGCGGCGCGACGTGCGGGACGCTTGCCCGGGCGCGGCGGTGGGTGTGCGCATCTGCCGCCAACGGCTCTGCTCACTTACTCCGCCAATGTTACGTATCTCATCTTTCAACACGTGTTGGCGTTTTATGAATCAAATGTTGATCTCTGCAGTAATTTGTGATATGTTTTTGCTTTTCACTGTAATCCAAGAACACGTCAGATCTCAAAGTCCCTGCTGACATTCCACCATTTCCTTATATAAAGTGCCGGAGGGTTGTGTCAAAAGTTTGGGGACAGTGGGTGTGATCAGACGTGGATCGAGTGTGGCCATTGGCCAGAGAAAGGCTACCAAAAAACCCACCTGCTGAGCTTTGCCTGTGTGTTCTCCATCAGCTTTCACTGCCAGCATCATTTACAGGGAAATGCTTTTGACTTGCTGAAATAATGTTTTTCTAAAATCAAACATTAAAAGGAAAGATGGCTTTGGCAGAAGCTTTAATGCTTCAAAGGATGCCAGGATTTGGTTTTTTTTTAAAATCAGAAACTGAACAAGTTTGCAGTCCAAGGAGCTGTGGAAAAGAACCTGCCCAGGAAGTTTGCAAGGTGGGAAAAGTAAAGTGTCTCAGTTTTTTGGGGGGTGGGGTTTGACCCTCCGCAGGACTGCAGATTGCATAGCCAGCTATCACTTCAATGTTATTACTCTTTACCACGGGGATTCAGTGACAATTTTGAAGAACATAAAGAGGACGTGTTAATCTCTTACCTGTGCCCCTAAAGCGATATGCTAAGCATTTTTTAAAATTATACTCCTCCTCCCTTAGCAGTGATCACTATTTATAACTTTGCAGAATATACTCTTTCCCAGGGCTGTCTAATTTTTTCTGGGCTCAGGAGTTGTTTCATGGAGAGGTCATTTGAGCAGGGGGAGGATCTTAATTTAGTACAAGGGGCTATCACAGAGCATGTGAGAGAGGGATGGCAAACTCATCTTTCTGTTGTTTCAGCTGCTTTGCAAAGAGTTGCTTTCATGTGTGAACAAACAGAAAAGTTGCCATTTTGATCACCAGCTTCCCAAAGTGGCTTTAAAAAAAAAGGGCAGAGGAGTTGAGTCCACTATCTCTTCCCTACTGCAAAACCTCGTTACGGTGGTCCCTAAAAAAAATGAAAGTAAAAAAAATAAACAGATAAAAAGGAAGATACTCAAGAATAAAATTCTCTACAGCCATTCCTCTTGTCCTCCACAAACTTATTTCTTTGATTTTTATCATTTAAGCATAGGCAAAAGAAACCACCATGCTGTGGCCGGGCGTGGTGGCTCACGCCTGTAATCCTAGCACTCTGGTAGGCTGAGGTGGCAGGATCGTTTGAGGTCTGGAGTTTGAGGTTGCTGTGAGCTAGGCTGGCGCCACGGCACTCTAGTCCGGGCAACAGAGCGAGATTGTCTCAAAAAAAAAGAAACCACCATGCTGACACATGGCTATTTTCCCATTTTCCTTTCTTGTATCTGCTGACATAAATATGTATACATTTCAAAGTGATTGTGATCGTGTTTATTAACTCACTTGCAGAAGCTCATAGCCAGTGTTGCAGAAGATGGAGAAGTTGTCTTTCAGGACGTATTCGGCTTGCACAGGCGAGATGTGGCCGCTAGGTGGTGCCGTCGGATAAGGGCACGGCCGCGCTGCGCAGAGGAGAGCGGGCTTACTGGTTGTGATGTGGGCTCTAGCGGCCAAGCCTGGATTTAGCAATCCAAAGTTCTTGGCTTATAAATGAAACGCTTAACATGTAAAGAGGGCTTGCCACAAATGAGGTAGGGTTCTTAAGATTTAAAACCGAAGACAAGATTAAACTCTCAGTTGCTCGTACAAATGAAGGTTTGTTGCATTCCCTGGGACCCAGCCAAAGGTATGTAAGAAAGCAAGCCAGGCATGTGGCAAGACAGTGCTGTCACCACACGTGGAGTGTCGCCGCCACACCAGGAACTATATGGGCACCGCTCAAACCAAGGGAGGGTGACTGAGGAAAGGAGCTCACTGCACAGGTTTGTCACAGCTCCCCACTTCCCAGGGGTTATTTGTCACCTCCTGAGCCTTGTTTCCTCGTCTGTAAGAGGGGGTGACGATAGCAATAGTCGCTCCAGGGCTGTTACGAGGGTTGTAAGTAAAGCACCTAGGACAGGACAGGGCTTGGCAAATCACACCTCGCAGCAGCCCTGCAGGACGGCACCTTGGCACAGGGGGGAAACCCTGGCTGAGGCGCTTTGAAGTGCTCAGGCAGGAAACTAAAGATAGACTGACCCAGGGAGCCTTGGCCTTCCCCTCATGAGCACCCGCCCATGGTGCCCAGGCCACCAGGGACACTGGCCCCCCAACCTGGCCTGCCCTCACCCCGAGACTTCAGGCCATCCCCACAGCTGTCCATCAGAACCCGCCAATCAGGGGCTGAGTCCCCTCCTCCCTCTGGCAGCTGCTCTCTGGCCCAAAGGTCCCTGCTAAGCTACTGGGGCGGCCGGGTGCACCCGACCCAGCCTGTGTCCTGGCGCGGTCCTCAGTCCCATGCAGGCCTGTCTCTAGGGACAGCCTTGGTGGCCCCGTGGGAGCCTAGGGCTTCTAGTGTTTGAAGGTCTGCTGGGAGGCAGAGGAGTTCTGGTGAGGCCTCAGAGAGCGGAGTTGAGGACGCTGGGGGCAGTCCAGGGCAGCGGCATTTACAGACCCTGGCTGCAGACTCCCAGAGCTGCAGCTCCAGTCCATACCCTCCGTGATTAAAAGCCCACCCGCCCCACTCCCCAACTCATAGCTCATACCTTCACCTCACCATCTATAGCCCGACACCCGGAACATTAGAGGTCTGGGCACAGACTCTTCCCTCACCTGGAACACCTTCCAACACCTTTATCCATTAAATCCAATCTTGGTGTTTCCTGTTGCAAGCTGACTTCCTCAACACCCAGCCCTTGCTGGGCCAGGTCCCTCCTCGGACTCTCACATTGCTCAGGGCTTGGCTCTCAGACTGTGCTTGTTACAGGGCTCATGGTTATGTTGCTGTGACTGTCCCCCCCATTGGACTGAGAGCAGAGGCTATAGGGACTGTGCCTTCTGCATTATGTACCCCTGGTACACATCCATGGGATTGGGAGGATGAATGGGTGGATGGAAGGATGGGTGAGTGGAAAGATGGGTAGATGGATGGGTAAATAGAAGGATGGGCAGGTGGAAGGATGGGTGGATGGATGGATGGATGGATGGATGGATGGATGGGTGGGTGGGTGCATTTAGGGGTGAGTGGAAGAATGGATGAATGGAAGGGTGGATGGAAGGATGGGTGAGCAGAAGGATGGGTGGATGGAGGTAAGGTGCAGATGGGTGGAAGGATGGCGGAGTAGATGGATGGATGGGTGGATAGTTGGATGGATGGTTGGGTGGAAGGATGAGTGGGTGGATGAATGGATGGGTGGGTGGATAGATGGTTGGATAGATGGGTAGGAGAATGAGTTGGTGGATGGAGGGGTGGGTGAATGGATGGATGGGTGGGTAGATGGATAGGTGGGTGAGTAGAAGGATGGGTGGAAGGATGGATGGGTGGGTAGGTGGATGGATGGATGGATGGATGGGTAAGGATGAGTTAGTGGATGGGTAGATGGATGGGTGGGTGGAAGGATGAGTGGGTGGATGAATGGATGGGTGGGTGGATAGATGGTTGGATAGATGGGTAGGAGGATGAGTTGGTGGATGGAGGGGTGGGTGGATGGATGGATGGATGGGTAGAAGGATGAGTTAGTGGATGGATAGATGGATGGGTAGGTGGATGGATGGATGGATGGATGGGTAGAAGGATGAGTTAGTGGATGGATAGATGGATGGGTAGGTGGAAGGATGAGTGGGTGGGTGGGTGGGTGGATGGATGAATGGGTGGGTAGAGGATGAGTTGGTAGACGGGTGATGGATGGGTGGGTGGAAGGATGAGTGGGTAGACGGATGAGTGGGTGGATGGGTAAGTAGGTGGATGGATGGATGGGTGGGTGGGTGGATGGAAGGATGGGTGGAAGGAGGGAAAGACAGTGGGTACTTCTCCTTAGAGGACCATTGCCTTACAGACCACCCCACTCCAACCTGGTCTCCCTTCCCAGGCCTGGCCCAGAAAGGGTTCTGACTCTCCCCCTGGATCTGAGACCCATTTGCTCACCTGTGCTCGTGTAGTGGATCTTCCAGCCCGTGTGGTCCCCTGACTCATCGGTGACAAAGGTGATGGTCACAGTGTTGCTCTTTGTTTCAATTCTACGAGGCAATGTCTTCCCACAAAATGGGCCATATTCCCCTTTGTCTGTTTGAATCTGAAAAAGAAGAGGCCCATGAAACCTCAGGACCTGCTGCCAGGTGTCCTGCCTGGGTTCGAGGGGAGCACCCCCACCCCCAGCCCTTCGGGGAGAGCTGGTAAGGCAGACCCGGGCCGAGGATGGAGGGTGACCCGCCCCCCTCACTCTGAAGGCCACAGCCCGGCTTGGACTCCATGGAGTCTGCAGAGGTGGGGGGTCGCTCAGCCGGACAGGAACACAGGGGCAGCGCTGCAGGACATGGGGGCAGCTGGCTGAGGGAGAGGGTCCGGACAAGGTGAGGGCCCCAGGAACCAGACCTTAAGGGAGTCGTAGGGGCACTGGGCTTCGGGGTGCGTCTCCACATCAAAGGACTCCATGAAGTCCAGGATGATGCTGAACCCCTCCTCTAGGCGGATGCTGTAAGTGCAGCTGGAGAGTTTGGGGTACGGCCGTGGGTATTCAGGGCTGCTGAGCTCCCCAGACCGCTCGGTGGAGACCTGGCCCGAGCACAGGGCTGGGAGGAAGGACGACAGAGGACGGGGTGGAGTGACTCCACGCCCATCTGTGAGCGCTCACCACGGACAGCAGGGTGCTGTCTCTTGGGAGTCTGGCAAGGGACAAGGATGGACATGGCTGGGACATCTGTGACCCTGGCCTTGGCCAGCCCAGCCCAAGGCATCAGCATCGCCAGGGGGAGGGCTTAGGGAGGGGCTTTTCTTGCTCTGAGGCTTTAGCTAAAACAGGCAGCACCCAGACTGCAGTTGGCCAGGGCCCTGCTCACAGCCCTGGGAGGGCGAAGGCAGGGGTTCTGCCAGCTCTGCCGGGGAGGCGGCACCGGACGGAGAAGGGAGGGAGGATTCAGGGAAGGGGCGAATCCCTGGCCTAGGGGCCCTTTCCTCCTTCGCCAAAGCCCCCACCCAATTCCCAAGTTCATCCACCAGGGGTCTCCCACCCACGCCCAGCCAGGACCAGCCCAGCCTCCCCAGTCCCCCCAACAGTCAGGAAGGGCCTCTCCTCTGGTCTGGGCTCTGCCCTGGGGGCAGTTCAGAGAAGTTCAAGTCCACAGGGACTCCTCCCTCCTTCCTCACTGCGACAGCTGATTCTGCTTCGGCAAGATGGAGCGGAGGCTCAGCCACTCATGGAAGGTCTGTCCCCGTTCCTGCTGCCGCTCCCCCCTCCCCGGGCTGCAGGGGCAGGAAGGATGAGGTGAACGCAGCCAAGGGAGCCGGGAGGCTTCTAGGGAGCGGGGAGTCCTTGGGGAGGCCAGACTGGCCCTCAGTGAGCCTCCCTGGGTCTCTCCACTCTGGCTCAGGCCCCCCGGGCCAGCACACAGGGGCCCCGAGTTACCCTCTGACCAGGAGGTGGGCCAAGGGTGCCCCGAGCTCAGCCTCTGGGGAGCCGGTGGGGGAAGAGCGCACAGTACCCCCGTCCCCCTGTGAACTCAGGCAGGGCCCTGCCCCCTCTGAAGTCTTCAAAATGGGGCTGGAGAAAGCCCTTCTGGCCAAGGAGCCTGGGGCCCATGGAGGTGGCTCCCACCGAACAGGGGTTCAGCAGGCTGCAAGGAGGGTGGGCAGAGAGGAGAGGCCCCCGGGGTGCACGCCATGCCCTCCCGCCCCAGAGACACGCTGCAGCAGGTGGAGGCGGCAGGTTTATTGTTGGGGCCGTGGGGGCTGGACGGGGCTGAGGGCTGCAGTGATCTCGGCCCGACCCAGAGCCTTGGCCCACGGGGCGCTCTGGCTGCCGACACCCGGGGCAGGCCGGAGCGGAGGGGAGGCTAGAGGCTCTGCTCTGGAAGAGAGATCGGGATGGGGGAGAGACACCAGTGGGGGAGGCAGGGTCAGAGCCGGGGGAGCGGGGGGTCCCGTGGTGGCAGCCAAAGGGGTCAGCCTATGGCGAACCCTTTAGTTCTGTGGAGGGAGGGAGGCCGGAGAGCCAGACGTGACCAGGGGAGCCAGCTTAGGTCCCCCAGTATCCCACCCCAGGAGCTGTGACTGTCCCCCTACTGGACTGGGACAGAGGCTTCGGGGACTGTGGCCCAAGGGGGGAAGTGACTGTATGGGGGAGGGTTCCCAGGGCCCAGGTGGGGCCAGGCACTCAGTGGGGACCTAACACAAGCTGTTGGCGTGAGCGAGCTGGAGAGGGAAGGAGAATGAGCGGAGGATGGGAGGATGGCGGGAGCGGGAGGAATTCGCAACGGGAATGGGTGCCCGGAGGGGCGCAAGGTCAAAGCAGCAGCAGGGTGAGGAGGGCCTAGAAGCACGCTGACCCCAGGGCCCCCAGGACCCTCCGTGCTGCTGGGGGAGCAGCGGTGGCCTTGAGGAGTCAGGTGCATCCTGGGAAGGGTGGAACTGGGCGCAGGCTCGGGTCCCCCCCACAGCCACACTCACCTGAGCAGGTGCGCTTGTTCCGGTGGAGGACGTAGCCTGCGCGGCAGGAGCAGTAGAAGCCACCTAGGTGGTTGTGGCAGTGGTGGTCACAGGCAGGCATCTCTCCCGGGGGCACCTGGCACTCGTCAATATCTGGGGGACCCCCAGCCGGGGTCAGGAGGGAAGGAGGTGGGACAGTGCTCTTGCCTGGCCTTGGACTTGGGAGACCAACCACCTCAGTGGCCTCCTGAGAGGCCTCATTGTGTCCCAAGGGGGGCTGGTGCACGGCCAAGTTCTTTATGGGCCTAGGGTCATTGCAACCTGCCTGTGTCGCTGGGAGGGAGACACAAACACCATCTCTTCTAAACCAGTGAGAGGCTCAGTGTCCTGCCCAAGGCCACCCAGCTAGTGACGGGCACAGCCAGCAGTCAAACCCAGGAGACACGGCACCCCTGCCTGGCAGCCACTTGCCCAAGGTCACGCAGCTTTGGGCCAGAATTTGAGATTGAGCTCTGTGGGCGGTGCTCCCCTGGCAGGGCCTCACTGCCCACCTGTACATGGAGCCCGTGGCCCCTGGGTCGTCCTTAGGGGCGATGGTCCCTGGCTCACTCGGGGCTCAGCCCTGTGAGCGGGGGTAGCTGTTACTGGTATTTGCACTGTGGACGATGTCAGGCCATGGACCCCTCTTCTGCCCCAGGGGAGGTGGAGACATGAAGGGCAGGGCTGGCCTGGCCTAAGGCAGAGTGACCCACCATCCCAGCTGTGGACAGGCCATCTGAGGACCCCGCTCAGCTCACCCTCTGTTGCATAGAAGGCCTCGAAGCCCGTGAATGGTTTCTCATTGGAGTAGTCAGAGCGGAAGGTGACGTCCAGGCTGGAGCCCGGAGAGTAGAAGGTGTCGTTGCCGGGTGCCCGCTCGGTGTCCGTGCTCTCCTGCCCGCACAGTGTGGCCAGTACCTCGGTCCCCGCGCTCAGCTGTGGGGGCGGGGGTCACGGGGAGGGAAGGCCAGACCCAGGCCTGCCCTCCCTCGTGGCCCAGGCCACCCCGCTCCAAGGCGTCCCCCAGCCTTGGCCAGTCCTTGGGGACCCCCAGGCCATTCCCGCCCTGCCGGCACCTTGACGAAGTCATACTCGCAGAGGTAGGAGAGCTCCAGGTCGAAGTGAGTGAAGTAGAGGCGCAGGCGGTAGCCGGGGGGAGCAGTCAGGGTCCAGCGCTGTTCCCGGTTGTTGGGATACACCCCCGGGAAGTTAGGGGACGCCAGGCGCCCGAACACGGGCTCAGGCCACTGTGGGCCCAAGGGAGTGGCAGCCGAGCCACACAGCAGGCCCAGGAGGACGAGCAGCCTGCGGGCAGGGTAGGGGCAGTGAGGGCGGAGGCCTGTTCTCCACTCCTCACCCTGCGGGGTGGCTGTGGGGGCTCCTACCCACCTCATGGTGTGCCGTCAGCTGGCCAGGCCTGGTCTGCCGCCCTGCGCTGGCCTCACCTTTGATCTGTTTGTCCAGCGACCTGGCCCTGCCCCCAGGCCCCTGCCCTGGGATTCCGGGAACGACCCCATGACATCTGCCCGCACAGAGTCCAGGCAGGGAGCGCAGGGCGCTCCAGAGCTCTGCACTCACCCCCATCTGTGTTCCCGTCTCAGAGGGGCCTCTGAGGTCGGCCTGGGTCTCCGTACCACTCACGACGGTGAGCACTTCTAGGTAGAGACAGAGCCGTGAACACACGCACCTACTCCCTCCTCACACCCGGGTATGAGATAGAAAAAGGAATTTCTGCAAACTCATGGTTCCATGAGGAGTGTGGGAGAGCAGACAGCAGCATGTCTGGAAGCTGGAAGAACAGATGGACAAGTGTGGAAATAATTGTCTAGAAAGCACCTTCTGAGCTGGCAGTGGAACTAGGAATCTGTGGCACCAGGTCCCTTGGGCAGTGTTGGAGAAACTAGCCAATCCCTGTTCCCCAGCCCCAGCCCCAGCAGAGACTTGGGGACTTCTTGGAGGGAGTGACAGGGAGGGGCCCAGCGAGGAGGGAGTGGCAGTTAGAAACAGGCACTGAGCAGACAGATGGGCTGTGGAGAGCCCAGCCTGCCTCCACACTCCACTCCTGGAATCTGGGGCCACCCAGGCTTCCCCCTCTTTTCCAGCAAGCGTGATCAGCCCAGGAGGAAAGACCTAGAGACACTGACTTTTGAGGCTCCCCAAGCAAATGCTGAGCCACGTCACTCATGGTGACAGGCAAGATGACAAGCCCCCCTCGTGCTCAGAGCTTCCAAGTGGCTTTCTGGCCCCCACTCTTCCATATGAGCAGAATATTCAAGAATACAGGAACAGAGCAGAGAGAAGAAAATGTCCAAGACCAAAGGGAATCAATATCTTCAGGGGAAAGAGATGCAGAACAGAAACGCTTAAAGAAGAGCATTCAGAGAACAAAAAACCAAACAGTTTTAGGAAATAAAAAGTCTGATAAAAATGAAAAAACTCAATAAAATGTTTGGAAGATAAGATTGAAGAAATCTTCCAGACAATAGAGCAAAAAAGAAGTGAAAAACTGTAAAAAAAAAAAAAAAAAAAAAAAAAATAAAGATAAAATTAGAAGGCCTGCACAGTGTGTCAAAGATTGAATAACAGGAATTCCAGAGAAAGATCAAGGAAGCAGAAGATGCTCAAGCGGGTTTGATGTAATTAACAAGAAGAAGAAGAAGAAAACAGAAGGGAGGAAATTATAAACAAAATAATGCAAGAAAACATGCAGAACTGAAGAACATGATACTGATTGAAAGTGTCTCCTAAGTGCCCCGGAAAACAGACGAAAATAGACCTTTCCACGTGATATTTCAAAACACTGCAGAGAAAAATTATGTTCTACAAAGAGAGAGAGAGAGAAAGAGAAAATGAACAGCAAAGCACATACAGGGGATTAAGAAGAATTATTTTGGAGCTCTCAGAAGAACACTGGAAACTAGAAGGGTGTATGGTGGCAGCTGCCAAGGTGGCCTGCAGTGTGTCCACCCGGGGTATTTGCCCCTGTGGTGTCTGCCCCATGGTGAGTGGCGCTGTGGGTGGATGTCACTGAGGAGCTGGGTGTTACTCTGTGGCCAGCCCGTAAGAGACACTGCCCCTTCCACCGGCTCTCTCTGGGATCACCTGCCCTGGGGGAGCCTGCCGCCATGTTGCGAGGGTGCTCAAGTGTCCCTCTGGAGAGGTCCATGTGGGGAGGAGTAGAGCCAGAAAGGGGAGACCTGGGGTCTATGCCACCCGGCAACAGCCAGCATAATTGGTGAGCCAGGTGGGTGAACTACCTGGGAAGCAGATCCGCCCCAGCTAAGGCCTCAGGGGACGGCTTTACCATCAATCAAGCTTGAATGTGGAAAATGAAAGTTTTATACATGTCAGATTTTTATAAAGTTACCTCGTCTCCTTTCTCAGAATGCTACTTCGGGATGTGCTCCACCAGGACAAGGGAGTGGGCCTCTCGCGGGGGCTCACACCTGTAATCCCAGCACTTTGGGAGGCCAAGCTGGAAGACTGCTTCAGGCCAGCTTGGGCAACGTAGCAAGATCCTGTCTCTACAAAAATTTTTTAAAAAATTAACTGGGTATGATGGTGCATGCCAGTTCCAGCTACTCAGGAGGCTGAGGCAGGAGGATCCCTGAGTCCAGGAGTTCGAGGCTGCAGTGAGCTACGATGATGCTACTGCTCTCTAGCCCAGGTAACAGAGCAAGACCCTGTCTCAAAAAACAAAACAAAACAAAACAAAACAAACAGAAAATAAAAGAAGGAGTAGACCCAGCAAAGGGAAGACATGGGGTCTAAGGGACAAGTGTTCAAATAGGGGCATCCATTTGGGGAAGCCAGAGGCTCTGGCAGAGCCTTCAGCAAGGTGAAAATGACAGACACCTGCTGGGTCTGAAGATTTTAAGAGGAGCTTTAGAGAATTGGTGAAAAGTTTGGGGCTAAATTAGTGACACATTTATGGAGAACTAAGTAAATGAGAACAAACCAAAAGCCTTCAGGGAAAACAGGAAGCTGTGCAGAAGTTGTCAGAGCTGACTCCGTGCCCCAGCTGGGAAGGGGTTTACCCCGTCTAACTGCACCAAGGCTGAATCACAGCTCATCAAGGCGATGACTTGATCGCGCAGAGCGCGGTGCGGGCCAAAGCCACAGACCAGGACTCGTGCTGATGAGCGTGTTCCTTAGAGACAGAAAGGTGACTGTTTTCTCCTACTGCACTTGCACACAACACTGAACACTTCCGTAACACGCACGTGGGGGCGTCCCCCCACATACCACCTGGTGTCCTCTAACTCCACGCGGTGCCGACACTACCTACCTGGAGAGGGAGTGAGACCCCACAGGCTGAGGCACAGTGCCCACCCCCACTTCAGACGCCAGTTGCAATAGTGCGTTTTCACCTGTACTTCTGACGACCTACTATACACCGGGGCTGCCACTATCCCTCCCGGGGTCTGATTCATTTGCTCAGACGGCTCACAGAACTCGGGGAGACGCTCACTCTGACTGCCTTCCTGTAAGGGTAGCACAACGGGGACAGAGGAATAGCACAGGTGGGGCCTGTGGGAGGGACACGGAGCTTCCACGCCCTCTTGGGGCGCCACCCTCCAGGAACCTGGAAGCCCTCACATCTCATTGTTCAGTTGTTGTCACAGAGCTCATCTCTGGAGGGTGGGGCTGAAGCCACTGGGTCTTTCTGGTGGCCCACCCCACCCTGAGGCTGTGTAGGGACCCTACCCTAATCACCTCATTAGCATAAACTCAGGTGTTCTGGAAAGGAGATGGTCCTACCAATCAGGAAATTCCAGGAGTTTTAGGAATGTGACGGGAACTGGGGACAAACACCAAATATATTTATTATACTACAGAAGGTAAATGCCCAAATAATCAGCTGAAAGAGAGACGGGGTGGGGGGGTGGACGCTATTTTTCTCCTAACAAGCCCCATGGAACTATGACTCCTTAAACCAGGGGCAGGAAGGATTTTGAGAAATACCTGAAGCGAGCAAAAACCTAGACAGGACCGAGTTTATTCCCCATGCCGCAAATGGGCACACAGCCCTCCCCACGGTTTCTGGGACTCGTGGGACTCACCAAAGCTGCTCTCGCCTCGGTAGACCAGCCGGCGTCGCGCACCCGGACACGGGGCTCGGGGCTCATCCCTAACGCCTGCCCCTGGAGGCCGCGTGCGTGCGTGCGGGGCGCGTCCGCCGGCAACTCCGACCGCCAGGTTAGGCGCTCCGTTCCCCAAACGGCCCCAGCTGTTTCTGCAACCAGGGCCGCCCACCCCCTGCTGTCTTCCCCTGCCAGGTGATCCAATCATCCCCATCTCACGTGCTTCTAACTGAAGCTTTGTAACGGGTAAGCTCAGGGCTGTCTTATAGACGGCGTGTGGCCAGAGCGTGCGTGGCTCTAGGTCCCACAGCCCACAGGAGGCCGAGCTGAGATTTGGACCCAGCTCTGACTCCAGAGCGCCAGGGGGAAGGCTCTCAGACTTAGCCGTCACAGGCTGGCCCCGCCTTCTCACGGCCTGCTTGGGGCTTGGTCGGTGAGCGTTGGTTGGAGAGGCCGTCCAACAGGGGTGCAGGGACCCCCGGGGTGCCTAAGCGGAGCTGTAGAAGCTGCCGGGCCCAGGCTGGGGTGAGTGGAGTGGCCCTAGCTCATGTCACCACATGTTTCAAGGCAGCCGTTCTGTGGCGAGTCCCCTCCTCACAGATGGGTGTGAAGATTAAGACACCAGGCCCACAGAGCCGGTGTGCGGCCCAGCCAGACTGCCTGACCGACAGCAGCCTCCACTCGCCTCCCCCGGAGCCAGGAGCCCCTGGAGCAGACACCAGTGCCCCGGCCCGCTTTTTGGACTGCCCAGGGTTAGGGGCAGAGTGGATGTCAGCCAGAGGCCAGACGTGCCCAGTCTGGCGAGCGCGTGGGGTGGGGTGGGTCAGGCGGAGGCAGAGTTGGGGGCAAAGCTGGACCCTTGCTCCCCTCCCCCACTGTTCCGGACTCCCAGGATCACTGGCGGCTGAGTCAGGGCTCTAAGTTGGCTGCCCAGACTGGGGGTGGGGGTCACTCCCATGTTCCCCTTCCTGCCCGAGCTTCCCAGGTCAACTCAACGTCTGGCCCAACCCCTGCCCAGGGTGGCGAAAGGGGCTGACAACTCTAGCCCTTGCAAGGAGGGTCCTTTTCCTGCCATTGTCCTTGCAAGATGAGAGTGGGCTGGAGGCCCGCCGCTTCCCCAAACCAGGCCCTGGTGGTGGTCTCTTCCCAGAGACCCTGTCCTGGCGGTGGGAGGGGTGAGGTGCCTGGGGCACCAGAAGCTGGAAGTTCAGCACCTTGGAGAGGGGACAGCCCTGTGCCTGTGGAGTCCCTGGTGAGGCCACCCAACCTGCATTCTCAAACTCTCAACATGGTCTGGGTGGTGTTTTAGGAACTTGCCAGAAAATACTCAGGAACTAGGGGGAC